CTGAAAGTTTCATGTTGATCGCATTTGCAGAAGTTTGATTTTTGGCCCTCACGTTTTGTGGAAATTTTCTTGGAAAAAATTGAGGGCCAAAAACCAAACTTCTGCAAATGCGATCAACATGAAACTTTCAGAATCTTATTTTTTCTCCAAAAAATGAAACCTCAGAAAGTTTGAAGTCAATAAGAATCGGTTTACGGGTACCTCTCATACAAAATTGTCGAAGTTTTAGTTAAAGTGACCGATTTTTCACATTATTTTATTTTCACTGCCTTTATTTCAAGAAAATTCACAAAAAATAACCAAAAGTACCTACGGACAACTCAGGCCAACGGTACGGAAAAGTTCGGGATTACCAATGTAATTCTTTTTATTTGTTTAATTGAATAGTGTTGAAGTCTTCTTATTTGAAATATGGTGTTGCCCTTTGGAAACTTCCATTTTCTTTCTAACTAATTAAATTTTTTCATCAACAGTTTTTGTGTTGAAATAAAAATGACCACTCAAATAAGTGGAATATCCGAAATTTTTTAATGGATTTTCTTGAATGATCTTTAAATGAATGATCCAGTGGTTCAAGACAATAACATATTTCAATGTATTCAAATATGCGTACTGCGCAATGAGTGCCATCATTGTGACAAAGGGAACAAACAAATTTAGAAAGAATATTTCAAACTCAGGATACAAAATTAGATCAAGCAATTGCGATATTTTCCTTTCATTTTTAACAAATTATTAATAACAAGTCAACACACATTATTTATTTGACAGTTTATTCCATACAAATATTCAATTCCAATCTCAAAACTTGTTGGGAGTAAAATCGCTCATTTCCATTCTTCAAACATTGTTTTTTCAGGATCAACAAGTTCAATTTTAGATTTTCATTCGTTGAACATCAAAAATGTGACAAATAAATTTATTTTCACAAATGATCGTGCACATTTTCAATACTAGAGCATTCATAATGAATTAATTCAAAAGTGAATGGTTTGCACATTTGTTCACTGCAGCATCAGCGACAACAGACAACATAGCGAACTTTAACACTTCGAAAGCGAATTCGATTTACGTGTGTTAGTGTGCGCGACCGTGTTGTTTCGCAATGACGGAACGGAACAAAAAACATCTCTCTGTATTCATCGACACATTCCGCCACTTGTGTTTGACAGCTCTGATAAAAATTGACTCTTCAACTGGATTCAGCACAACAAATAATTTCATAGAAAAAATATTCACGGTTTCTGCAAAAACTAAACGACGAATTAGAAAGTGAATTTTTGTCGAAAGTATTTCGAGAAGGTGAGCATAGCTGTGGTTTTTACTTTGCATCGATTTTGAATGACTTTGTATTCTGTGGCTCATTGGCACATTCTTTAAAATTGATTAGATTCATCCAGTGAATTTTGGCGAATAATTTTCAATCTAGCTTGGAGATAAAGGAATAAACAGAACAAAACAATTTGTTTGATCGCCACTTGAGCTGGAGAGGAAATTATTCAGCAAAGTTCAGGCCGTAATTGAACCAATAAGATTTAAAACCTAACCTCAAATGTGTTTTTACATTGAAAATGAAATAATTTTTTTTGTGCGGCATTGTCTTCAGACAAATGGATAGACGTTCTAAAAATTATAGTTGAGTAAAAGAAAACAAAAAGTGGCTAAATTCAATATTAGAATGTTTTGTTTGTATATTTCAAAGGGGTCAAAAAATGACTGACTCAGGAGCTACATCGAACGGCGAGCATCAACAAGTTGATTGTGTGGACCAAGCATTAAAACGTCACCGAATTGATGATACACTAACGAATGAAATGCGACTCACAGATCTCATCGACGATTGTCTTGAGCCGATTTTCCTGAAGCTGAGCATCGAGGATCTCGTGGCCATTGCTCACACCAACAAACAGTTGAAGCCGGCTGCAGCATCAGCATTCGCACGCAAATTCGGCACCAAGAAAATTGTTCTGTCTAATTTGAAAGACGATCTACCGATTGATTCAAGAATGGATTCCGTCCAGGTCGTGGATTTGAACGTTTCGTTGCGGTTACTACGCTCGTTCGGCCACAAGATCTCCAAGCTTCACATTGGTCATAAAAAGTCGATGGGTTCGATTGTATTCAGCAATCGATTACTGATTCAATATGCCAACGAATATTCTAAGTCGTTGGTCGAAATTACATTCGGCCCTCTTGCAAGTTCTGAACTCAGCTTAGCTGCGCATGAATCATTTCCAATGGTTGAAACGGTTCGAGTCTGGCGATGCAATTTGCGTCGATTCGGTCAATCCGAATTTGATGGATGTTTCCCTGAAATTCGTCGTTTGGAATTTGTTGGAAATGTACCCAGCAACGAATGCATCGTCGACTGTTTGCCAAATCTGGAACACTTGGCCATCAATACATCATCATTTATGCACATAAAAGGAACATTACCGATTTCGCTTGCACTCAATCCACAATTGTTGTCGCTAACGTTGAAAACGAACGATGCTTTATTCATTCTGCGCAAAGGACACCCGTATCTGGGGCTACTTGAATCTCTCAGTGTCACTTACGATTCAAAAGATCTTTTGAATGAGCATTTTGGGTTTGAAGACAACGAGGTGATTCAATTCGAAAGCTTGCGTAAATTGGAAGTGAATTTCGCCGATTTTTGTTGCGATTCAATCCCACACATTCCGTTTTCATCGCATCGTTTGACAGAGCTCAAGGTGTCCATAGGTGATTGTGACCATAAAACATGCAATCGCTTAGTTCGGTATCTCCAGAAGCATCAAACCGTCACAAAGTTTACTTTGATCAATAGAAGCGATCCGTTTTGGGAACCATCAAACATAAGTGAAGAAAGCAAAATGAAAATTTCCCAGGCGATGTCATCGCTGCAGGAGGCTGACTTTTGGAACATTGAATTTTCTACCGGAGAGGTGAAACAGTTCATTGGAAACTGCAAAATGTTGCATCGATTCGGTTTCAAACTGATCAATGGCGGAGACTTCAACGACTTGAAGAAGCATTTGGGCAGTGAATGGGAAGCATCGATTGACCCGAATGGCAACGTCAAAATTGTGCGAAAATAGAAAAAGTAATCATCTGAATTCAAGCAGCTCAGAACAATGATAAGGAACTTTAATTTACAACGACATTGTTGAACCATTTAATTTTTCATTTAATTTTATATCGCCGAAAGATTTTATTTGTTTTTATACGTATTTTTGCATCACAATAATGTTGAATAGTTCGAATGATCCCAAAACACTTAGTTTTCCTCAGAAAAAAAAAATAATAACTTTTCTGGGCTGAAGAAAAAAATCTTTATTAGTTCATTAAAACCACTACAGATTTTATTTTCAAAATATTTCCAAATAAAGCAAATGTACAAACAATTTTCTGTGTGTGGAGTTAGTTTCGATTTTCAATATTTCAGGCCAACAACGTGACTTTTCGAACTTTGAACAGATTGATTCACAAAAGGTTGTGTGAATATTTTGAATTGGAAGCGGCGTTGATTGGATTACTTTATATGTGTCTTTAACTGGTAAAGCAAAAGATCACAAAATACGGAAACCAAACCATCGTCGGAGGTTTTAGAAAAATATTTCAAATTCAGAATACAATATTAGGTCAACTAAAGCTTAGTCCATTGTTCTAAACAAAGTTATTCCAACAAGTCAGACACATATTTTTTCTGCATAAAATATGCACGTCAAATTTAAGCAAAATCGTTCGTTTGCATTATTCAACGTTTTTCTTTTAAATCAAGAAAGTTAAATTGAAAGCTTTTCATTCGTTGAACATCCAAAATGTGACAAATAAATTTATTTCTACAAACGATCGTGAACATTTTCAATACTAGAGCATTCATAGCGAATTAATTCAAAAGTGAATGGTTTGCACATTTGCCCACTGCAGCATCAGCGACAACATAGCGTACTTTGACATTTCGAAAGCAAATTCGATTCACGTGTGTTAGTGTGCGCGACCGTGTTATTTCATAATCACGGAACGGAGCAAAGACATTTCTCTGCATTCATCGACACATATTGCCATTTGTGTTTGACAGCTCTGACGAAAATTGACTCTTCAACTGAATTCAAAGCAACATTAAACTGTCTAGAAAATATATTCACGTTTTCTGCAAAAACTAAACGACGAATCGAGTAAATCATTAGAAATTGAATTTTCGTTGGAAATATTTCGAAAAGGTGAGCATAGCTGTGGTATTTTGAATCGATTTTGAATGACTTTGTGTTCTGTGGCCCATTGGCACATACAGTAAAATTTATTCGATTCATCGAGTGAATTTTGGTGAATATTTTTCAATTTAGCTCGGATATAAAGGAATAAACAGAACAAAACAATTTGTTTGATCGCCAGTTGAGCTATAGAGAAAAATATTAATCAAAGTTCGAGGTCCTATTCTATTTAACCAAAAAGATTTAATATCTAACCTCAAATTTGTTCACATATTGCATATTTTAAAGGAGGTGAAAAATGACTGATTCAGAAGCTGCATCGAACGGCAAGCATCAGAAAGATGAAGAATCGAATTGTCAGCAAATCAATGATACACCAACGAAAGAAGTACGACTCACAAATCTCATCGAAGATTGTCTTGAGCCGATTTTCATGAAGCTGAGCATCGAGAATCTCGTGGCCATTGTCCACACCAATAAACAGTTGAAGCCGGCTGCAGCATCAGCATTCGCACGCAAATTCGGCACCATGAAAATTGTTCTGTCTAATTTGAGACACAACCTACCGTTCGACTCAAAAAAGGATTCCATCCGGGTCGTCGATTTGAACGTTTCGTTGCGGCTACTGCGCTCATTCGGTCATAGAATCTCCAAGCTTCATATTGGCCATAAAAATTCGATGGGTTCGGTTATATTCAGCAATGGACTACTGATAAATTATGCCAACAAATATTGTAAGTCATTGGTCGAAATTACATTCGGCCCTTTTGCAAATACTGATCTCAGTTTGGCTGCGCATGAACCATTCCCAATGGTTGAAACGGTTAGATTTTGGCGATGCAATTTGCGTCGATTCGGTCAATCCGAATTTGATGGATGTTTCCCTGAAATTCGTCGTTTGGAATTTGTTGGAAATGTACCCAGCAACGAATGCATCGTCGACTGTTTGCCAAATCTGGAACACTTGGTCATCAACGGATCATTAAATCGGCACAACAATGACACAATACCGATTTCGCTTGCACTCAATCCACAATTGTTGTCGCTAACGTTGAAATCGGATGATGCTTTATTCATTCTACGCAAAGGACGGCCTTATCTAGGGCTACTTGAATCTCTTAGTGTCACTTATGATTCCAAAGACCTTATGAATGTGCATTTTGGGTTTGAAGTCAACGAGGTGATTCAGTTCGAAAGCTTGCGAAAATTGGAAGTGAATTTCACCGATTTATTCTGCGATTCAATCCCACACATTCCGTTCTCATCGCATCGTCTGGAAGAGTTGGAGGTGTCCATCGGTAATTGTGAATATAAAACGTTCAATCGCTTAGTTCGGTATCTCCAGAAGCATCAAAACATCACAAAGTTCACTTTGATCGAAAGAAGCGATTCGTTTTGGGAACCATCATACATAAGTGAAGAAAGCAAAATGAACATTTCCGAGGCGATGCTATCGCTGGAGGAGGCTGACTTTTGGAACATTGAATTTTCTACCGGAGAGGTGAAACAGTTCATTGGAAACTGTAAAACGTTGCATCGATTCGGTTTCAAATTCATCAATGGCGGTGACTTCAACGACTTGAAGAAGCGTTTGGGCAGTGAATGGGAAGCATCGATTGACCCGAATGGCAACGTCAAAATTGTGCGAATTTAGAAAAAGCAATCATCTAAATTCAAGCAGCTCAGAACAATGTTAAGGAACTTTAATTTACAACGACATGGTTGAACCATTTAGTTTTTCATTTAATTTTATATCGCCGAAAGATTTTATTTGTTTTTATACGTATTTTTGCATCACAATAATGTTGAATAGTTCGAATGATCCCAAAACACTTAGTTTTCCTCAGAAAAAAATGAAAAATAATAACTTTTTTGGGCTGAAGAAAAAAATCTTTATTAGTTCATTAAAACCACTACAGATTTTATTTTCAAAATATTTCCAAATAAAGCGCATGTACAAATATTTTTCTGTGTGTGGAGTTAGTTTCGATTTTCAATATTTCGGGCCAACATCTTGACTTCTCAAACTTTGAACAGATTGATTCACAAAAGGTTATGTGAATATTTTGAATTGGAAGCGGCGTTGATTGGATGGTTTTATGGGTGTCTTCCATTATGGAAGTTCCATACGCCCTTATCAGAATCTTAATTGGTAAAGCAAAAGATCACAAAATACGGAAACCAAACCATCGTCGGA